CATGCGCCTGGTAAGAATGGAGGCAGGAACCAACTGTTGAAGACCATCTTTTGTAACTTGGGGCAACAGGTTGTTGGCTACCACATTCGGACCTAAGTGCTTCTTAAGACTACTTACATGAAAAACAGGGTGGACTTTAGAAGTGGCAGGAAGTTCAAGTTTGTAAGCCACATCACCTACTCGGCTGAGAACCTTATAGGGCCCATAGAACCTGGGTAACAGTTTGTGATAACTATGTAGCCAAGGATTGGAGTTGATAAGGAATAAGTTTTATATAAACCATATCGCGAGTTTTGAATGCCATTTTTTCAACATCAGCAGGTTGCATCAAGATTTGGTGATAACCGGAGCAAAGATCTAACATGGAAAAATAGGTGGCACCACAAAGTTCATCCAAGAGATCATCAATCAGAGGAATTGGATATTTTTTTTATTGTGAGAGCATTAAGTTCCCTATAATCAATACACATACGGCAAGTGCCATCTTTCTTCTGGACAAGAAGTACATGGAAGGAAAAAGGACTATGACTGTGTCGGATAAAACCGGCATCTAATAAGTCCTTGACAACTCGTTCAAACTCATTCTTTGTAAGAGGCCCATAGTGATAGGGCCATATATTAGGTGGTTTGGCACCGGGCAACAATGGAATGTGGTGATCATGTGAGCGGGAGGGTGGAAGTTGAGATGGCAGCACAAAGAGGGACTCAAAGTCGGCCAATAACGTATTCAGTTGTGTAGATTAAGCCGGGGACAACTCAAAGTCACTAACAAACACCAGTTGTGTCTCCATAGAATACAACAAAAGGCCCAAGTTGGAATTAGCAACTTCCTTCTCAAGATGCTGTAAGGAGACTTCTTGGATAATAGAAGGTGGAGCTGCAAAATGAAACAATTTGTAGTGCTGATTGTTCTTCGTGAATTCCAGAGTCAATTGATGGAAATCCCATAATACAGGGCTAATAGAAGAGAGCCACTGAACCCCCAAGACTAAATCACAACCCCTGAGAGGCAATGAATACAAATCAACACTGCAAGTATAACCCCCTAAGGACAATGCATCGGACCGCCAACAACCTGAACTTTTGACTTTACCACCATTGGCAATCATGACCTCAAATGACTTAGTAGGATGAAATGGTTGGCCCCATTGTTTTAACAATCAAGTGTCGACAAAGTTGTGAGTGCTACTAGAGTTTAACAAAATCCGCACAGAATGACCTTGGAGAGTGCCCTGCACTTTCATAGTTTAAGCTTTCGGGATGGTGGTTGTCCCATAGAACGCACACTCACTGAGTTCCATGTGATGAACTTCAGGAGGTAAGTTTGGGGTGAACACATCAAGCTCCGCTTGGTCAGCAACATCGAGCATAAGCAATTGCTTTAATCCACATTTATAACCGGGAACCCATTTGTCAGTGCAAAACCAACATTCGCCCTTGTCCCATTTTAATTGAATGTCAGCTGGAGAAGGCTTCTTAACAGGGTAATTTTGGACCCGAGGAACATATGGAGTGATGACAGTGGTAGTGTTTGGTTGGTGTTTGGGGATTGTGGGTGATGGTTTAGTGATACCGCCTTTGAGCTCTTAAAACTTAGTATCTAACTGAACCGCTATGGCAATAGCATCATGAACAGAATGAGGCTTCAACAATTTCACATCATACTTTAATTCCTGTTTAAGGCCACCAAGGAAACAACTCTTTAACAAGAGAGGACTAACATCACAAGTATGATTAGCAAGTTTTTGAAATTCAATAATATAATCATGCAGGGTACTTGTTTGGCGAAGTTTGAAAAGTGTCTCACTACTATCTTCAAACTCGAAAGGACCAAACTCCTTACACAGTGCTTGAGTGAAGTCCTCCCAATAGGGAGTAGTATTGGAACAATCCATCCATCTATACCATTGAAGTATCTCCCCCTCGAGGTGGAATGAAGTTGTGACCACGCGCTGAGAAGCGGGAATGCCATAATAAACAAAATATTGTTCAGCCTTATAGATCTAGGCTAATAAATCGTCACCATCTCTAAATCGGGGAAAGTCGATGCGCGGAGACCACGGTGGCTTGACCGTAGCACTGCCAGGGGTGACTGGACTGTACGGCGCTTGGATGCGGTCCATGTCACGAGGTGGAGGAAGATTCGTGAAAGGAGGAGCAGAAGGCCCCTCGCCGCAACCACGAACAGCTTGCTCACGAAGAAATTGCTCGAAATATACAGGCAATCGTGTTTCAAAAGGATGATCAATGGCTTCAGCGAACTGATTGGGAAGGTTGGCTAAGATGGTTTCAATAGCGGTAACACGAGATTCCATGGCAGAGATGTTGGTCGTGGTGGTGGGACGGGGCATATACTGAAGGTATACCAGAATCGGATGGTGATACCAATGATAAAACCCAAGCCAATACCTAGCTACAACCTTGACTGTGTGGTAATGGTGGGTACTGAAGAGAGGAATTTCACAGCAAGAAGAAGGAAATTCTAATTGTTTTTCATAGACGCTTTTTAAATCCACTAGTTGAGGCTTTTAAACCACAAAACAACCATTATATTCGCGTGAGTGCCATCTAGCATAACAAACAACTCAATTAAAACTTAAACCCATAATTAACAAGACTATTACAATCTAATCCTTACTCTAATACAATTTGACCCCATTATTTAACTACTACTTCAGAGTGATCCCAGGATTCACTAATAGGCCAAATGCAAGATCATAACAAATTACCAAGCAAGGAGTAGATGAGAACGAGTAGGATCAGATGAGGGAGAGCAGGATGAGGGTGAAGGAGTAGGACGTCTGTCTCTCGCAGGACGTGCGACATTGGTCTCTTGCAGGATGAACGACGAATCCCTCTCGGTCTTAGGAGTACCGTGAAATTTGGGGGTCCTCGCTAAGAACTCTTAGCGAAGGAGTTTGTCCAAGCTAGTCTGGCTTTGTCCTATTAAACCTAATTCCTTAACCTACCAAACATGCGACTACACTAAAAATTAGTCTAGTCCAATGAAATTTAAAGAGGTCAAACAAACACGAGAGTATAAATTCTATTTCTTTGTATCTTCCCTCTTGTTTCTCTTTCTCTCTCTCTCTCTCATATGTTCTCACATCTTCTGCAAAGATTATAGATTACATATTGATTCAATTCATATAGCTTAACATGGTATCAGATTGCTGACTCGTGATTTTCAATCCTTTTTTGCTTCCATTTCTATTACTTTAGAGTTCGATTCTTTTGAATAATCTTCATGTTGTTTGCCTGATGACTTCTATTCTTTTTCTTTAGCTTCTTAATTCTTGTGCGCAGAAGGTGTTTGCTGCAATTCCTAGCTGAGATTTATTCTCTAAATTCAAGAATTTACGATCTTTGATCTAGCAAAGATGGTGTATGCATCTCAACTTTAGCTTTCCTAATCTCTGATCACAGCTCTCATTTCTTCGATTTCCACATCTGTTAATGCCAAGCTTGATGACTCCAATTACCTCAATTGGCACTTTTAGATGCAACTGTTGCTGGAAAGTAATGGAATTATGTGCTTTGTGGATGGCTTCACTCCGTGTCCTCCTCAATATGCGTCTTAATATGGTGAATCTAGTATTAATTCTCAAAACTCCTCTACTTTTACTGAGAATGATGATTTCATTGTTTGGAAAATGCATGATTGAGCTATAATGCAGTTGATTACTGCCACATTAAGTCCTATTGCTATGTCATGTGTTATTAGTAGTACAAGTTCCAAAGATCTGTGGATTCGGTTAAAGGAACAATGTTCTACAGTGTCTAGGACTAGTATTTTTCAAATGAACTCTAATTTGCAGACAATTAAAAAGGGCTCAAACTTTTTATCTCAGCATATTCATAGAATCAAGGAGGCTAAAGAGTACTTGTCTACTGTTGGAGTATATTTGCTGATGATGATATAGTAATTCTAACTCTAAATGGGTTACTTGTGGAGTATCGCACATTTAGGTGTTTGGTGAAGGGAAAAGAGAATGTCATATCACTAAAAGTCTTTAGATCACAATTACTTGCTGAATAAGTAATTGTGGAAAGTTTTTCCAATGCACCATTTTTAACTACTATGGTTGCTAATAATAATCAATCTGGGTCCAAAGGACAAATTTTCCTTTCTCAGCAGCTCCCCGCTACCATTGGTCAGTCTCAGTTTTCTTTAAGAGGTTTTAAACCTTATAATAAGAAGAAGAATAAAGGTAAAGGTAGATTTAATCAGGTCTTTAGAAATTACAATCCTAGACCAATGTATCCTAATCAGACACATGTCTTTCCTACTCCTAACCCTAGAGTGCTCGATCAATAACCAATGAAATATTTTGGAAGTTGTTTTGCCCTTCTAGTGCCTACTTGCTAGCTGTGCCACAATATGTTGGTCTGCCTGAAACCCATTGCCACCCAACTATTTTTGGCGTTATAGTTGATTACTGGGTATGTTTTTACCATACTTAGGGCCTCCGTATTTAGACCTCGTATAAATACTCGGGAGACTTAAATGTAATTATGTAATAAAGGAAGGGGGAAATATGTAAAAAGGGGAGGAGCCTTTATTCTATAAAAGGGCCTCATCACCCTCACAAACCCTAAGCCTATCCTATCTAGAGCAAAGCTCTCACACTCTCTCCCTCACAAATACTCTCAAAGAAATACAATCAGTGTGGCGTAGCCCAAACCTTGGGGTGAACCGCGATACATCTTGTGTTATTTACATTTCTTGCAGATTCACGGTCGGATTTACGTTGTTCCAAGATCTCCGATTTGGTGCATCAACATTTGGCACCGTCTGTGGGAACGATACAAAAAGTTGTGCTGGTTCTCTTTCATTTTTCACCTTCACCATGAATCTGCAAAACCCACACAGAAACACAAACTTTGCACACTCTATTACTCTACTTTGCACACCCATTTGATTCGACCATTTCTTCCATCTGTAACAACTTCCTTCGATCATTCAATCTTTTTAGATACCTACAAAGAGAGAGAAAGAGATGAGCAGAGTTTCAACAGCAGCGCACGTAGCTCGTCGAGCAGCTCAGAAGGAGAAGGTTCAGATCCTCTACAGGAAAGCCCTCAGAGACACTCTCAACTGCGCCGTCCACCGCCACCTCTTCTACCCAGATGCTGATGCCCCCCGCGAGAGGTTTGAAACCAACAAGCATGTGGAAGATCCTGACACCATTGATAGACTCATAGCGAATGCCGAAGCCACTTACAATATGTGGCGCCATCCTGATCTTTACATTGTTCCTTGGGCCTCTGGTGGTTCTAAGTTTCACCGAAATCCTATTCACCTGCTGGGATTGAGATAGTATACGACTATGGAAAAGAGGATAACGACTAAAAACTCAAATGTTTTTCTGCACAATAAATAAAGCCTTAATGCAACTGCAAAATCAGAACGAGGAGTAGAGCAAGTAATAACGAAGCAAGAAAAAGTAGAGGAATTGGGGGCGAAGATGGCGTTGCAGTGGATGATATTGACGTACGTGGTGGTGGCAGAGGCGGCGTTGGCCTTCCTCCTAACCATCCCGGTGCCCAAGCTGTTGAAACAAAAAAGATCCAAATCTCAAATCTTAATGGTTACTGTGATTTTGGTTCAGATGCTTGAAGGGAGAGTAGGAACAAAATCGGAGTTTCGATCATGTCCCTTAACAAAGCAATCCTCTGTCTCGCGCATACTTCTCTGTCGCCAAAGATTCAATCTTTTTCTAAGGTTAGGGTTTCTTTGTTCCCAATTTCTTTGATTCCGTCGACGATTCTCAGAAAATGAGTGCGAAAGAAAGAGCGTTGACTAAGGAAGGCAGAGGTAAACCGAAGGCCTCGAAGTCTGTGTCCAGGTCGCATAAGGCCGATCTTCAGTTTTCGGTTGGTAGGATCGCCTAGTTCCTCCGTATTGAGCCTCTGCCCCAATTGAAAAGCTCAGGCATATCGATATCAGACAAGAAATATATAAATTGGATATGCTCAATCACATTGAAAAGCTCTTTGTGATTAGAAGTGACATATTCTGCTAAAAGCAAGCTGTCAAAACTCAATCTCTCACTGGATCTGCTATATCTTTAGTTTCAGTTGTGCAGGCAAGAAACAATGCTTGGGTTTTGATCTTTGGTTCATTGAGCTTGTTCAGCGACAGGTTTTTAAGATCTAAGGTGCAAAAGGCTAGGAGCTCAAAGAAGTGAGTGATGCTGGGAGCTCAAAAGACGATGAGAGAGAAAGAAAGAAGATGAGAGAGAAAATAAGAAAGCAAAGATACTTGATGATATGAGGGTCCTCACGGTCAGGGCAGTCGCCGACCCAGATCCCATCTCCTGCGAATACCACGGGAAAAGCAAAAACGGAGATAAGATTCTTTTCTTATTATTAATTCTACTATTCTCTGTCTATCATCTGCCTAAAGAAAGAAAAATAAAGAGAAAGCAAAAAGGAGGCACATGGGGACACTGCAAAAGCAAGGAATAAACACCCCACCAAAATGATGTAATTTATTTTTCTTATATTTCAGAGACATCTGTATAAACCCCATCAGAGGGTAAAAAAAAAAACGACAAAGCCCAAAATAAATGGGCTGGAATGTTGTGTGGAGGGTGAAGGCCCATAAGCCTAAAATAGCACTAACCAGGTGACCAAAAGTACGCCCAGTACTACAAAAAATTATTCGGCACCCCGTCGCTATTATTGCCAACCAGGTGATCAAAAGTACGCCCAGTACTCCAAATTATTCGGCAACCTGCCGCTATTACCACCAACCAGGTGATCAAAAGTACGCCTAGTACTTCAAATTATACATGAGCATTACTCATCAATCATATATCATCATTCACATGAGCATTACATCATGATCATATACATAAACATTCATGCATCACTCATGTCAACATCATGAGCATCACTCATGTCAATCAACATAAACATTCATGAGCATCACTCATGTCAATCAGCTTCAATCAACAAAACTTCATTACAGCATCTTCACTCATCAAAGCTTCATTACTTCAAAAAGCTTCATTTACAAAAGCTTCAGCTTCAAAAAGCTTCATTTACAGAGCTCCAGCTTCAAAAAGCTTCATTTACAAAGCTCAAAAAGCTTCATTTACAAAAGCTCTAGCTTCAAAAGCTTCAAAAGCTTTAGCACAGAAAGCTTCAGCTTCAAAAGCTTCAGCTCTCAAAAAGCTTCATTTACAAAACCTCTAGCTTCAAAAGCTTCATTTACAGAGCTCCAGCTTCAAAGCTTCACCTTGCAAAGCTTTCAAACCTACAAAGCTTCAGATATACAAATACTGCCTCCAAACAACCGCCACTTCGGCCCATACACGGATTCAATTTGAAGTCTCCAGCCAACAGACTCTATTGACCGAAAACTTGGGGGACTACACTATACACCATATATTGGGCTTTAACTGGGCCTCATGAGAAATACTTGGGGGACTTAGCCCATTATTTTTGTATTGAAAAGCGAGCCCTTATTCTATAAAAGGGACTCCCTTACTTTCATTAGAGAGCACCCATCACTTATGTATTGAAGAGCAAGCCCATATTCTATAAAAAGGACTCCCTCACCATCATTAGAGAGCATCGCCACCAGCTGAGCAACCGCCTCGCCGCGAGCACCAACTCTAGCCCATATTTATGTATTGAGGAGCGAGCCCTTACTCTATAAAAGGGACTCCCTCACCTCCAAACGCCACAAGTCGAGCCAACCAAGGCAACATAAGCCACAAGCCGAGCAGCCTCGCAACATGTGATAGTTGAGCATCATTTCACTTTGAGCACCGTCTCATATCAAGTATCAGTTCAAGACGACATCTAGTTACTTCGGCCCACACATGGACTGAATTTCAAGTCTCCAGCTAAAAGACTCTCTTGACTGAAGATTGGGGGACTACTGTTTATACCATACTTAGGGCCTCTGTATTTAGACCTCGTATAAATACTCAGGGGACTCAAATGTAATTATGTAATAAAGGAAAGGGCAAATATGTAAAAAGGGGAGGAGCCTTTATTCTATAAAAGGGCCTCCTCACCCTCACAAACCCTAAGCCTCTCCTATCTAGAGCAAAGCTCTCACACTCTCTCCCTCACAAATACTCTTAGAGAAATATAATCAGTGACGAGATCATATACTAGCTAAAGTGACGAGATCATATACTAGCAGTAAACATGATTGTGAGGATAGATATACCTATCAAACATCAAGTTAAAATCCCTGAAGGGTGTGCTGCCTCTAAAGAATGATTGGTCACCCCTATCGGATGGTTCAGTACACCAGCAGATAGCCAATCAATATGCCTTTGGCTAAAATCATAACATATCACTTGTCGTTGGATTTACTTCCTCAGAATAGGAAGGATATGACACAAAAAATGAATTCATACTCAATTGTTGTCTTAATCATTTCCATCTCATAAGATTAATCCAGATTAGTCCCGAGACATGAAGTTCTTGGTCCAATATACTAGTTTGAGTGAGATATTGAATTAGAATGAGATTATCGTTGATGATTTTTCATAGCTACCGACATAAATGAAAAGCAATGATATCAAACCACTTTCATTTGATTAGTGACAACGCAAAACTAATTGGACAACTCATATTACAATCTAGGTTAAATTAGATTCCTCACCAAAAAGTGTTTGAACCTTTTGTTCCTACACCACCAAAGGTAACTCTATCGTGTTATAAGTGGGAAAGGAAACGTAATTTGATGAATGAAATAGTGTGATATGATGCACGGCTTATGACGTAAGTTTTCTCTCAAACGCCCTGCGAGTGATTGCAGCATTATGAATGTTGTTGGTACCAAACTCGCGCACCTCCATGACCAGTAGTTGAGCACAAATTTGAGCAACCTACAAAACATTGAAACAATCGTGAGCAAGCCTAAGGGGTGTGCAGGTCAAAGGCTTTTCGAAAATCAAGTTAATGAATGATTTTAGACTAGAGAAGTGGGTAAGAGAATTCAAATTTTACACTAAAGGAGTTTGATCAGCACATTCCCTTTTTCTCCCTTTATTATCTTTTATTAACAAATTTTAATTTTTCTGACAAAATTGCCCTTGCGCTTTTATATGTATCAAATTCTATCAGTTTTAGATTTTTTTGTTTTAGGGGTGTTTTAATCCAAAAATTTTTGGTGATGCCTTGAGACACCAAAGTAGTCTTCTAGCTTTCTAATATTAGAGACTTTTAAAATAGGAAGATAAATTATCCAACTTTTTCTCTACCCCTCTTCCCACGTTGGTTTTTTATTTTCTTATTCTCTCCTAAAATGGAGGAGGAGTTTGATCAGCATGTTTCCTTTTTCTCTCTTTATATTATATTTTATTAACAAATTTTAATTTTTCTAACAAAATTGCCCTTGCGCTTTTATATGTATCAAATTCTATCAGTTTTAGATTTTTTTTTTTTTTTTTTAGGGGTGTTTTAGTTCAAAATTTTTTGGTGAAACCTTGAGACACCAAAGTAGTATTTTGGCTTTCTAATATTTGAGATATATAGATATAGATGACAAATTGGTCACGTCCCCTTTTTTATCTTTTTACATTCCCCCTTTTTTTTTGTTTTTTCAATAAAACAAATTTTCAGTTTTTTTTAACAATATTTCTATGAGATATTATCCCCCCCCCCCCCTCCTCTGAAAATGGAGGAGTGGAGTTGGTCATGTTCCCTTTTTTTATCTCGTTACGTTCCTTTTTTTTTCTTTTCATTTTTCAATAAAACAAATTTTAAGTTTTTTTTTTGTTTTTTGTTTTTAACAATATTTCTATGAGATATTAGTCCCACTCTCTCTCTGAAAATGGAGGAGTGGAGTTGGTCATGTCCCATTTTTTATCTCAGTTTTTTTCTAATAAAATGAAATATAAATTTATGTTTCTAACAGAATTACTGTCATAGCCCGTCCTGAGATATTTTTCTTGATGGTGTGAAATGTTGATTCTACCATTGAAAGTTGAGTTGTGGGTTGTGTAAATAAGCTAAGGAATTAAACAATTGAGTTTACTTATTTTCTTCCTAACCTTTTGGACCCAATTAGAACTAAAGGTTCTAATTGTTTTGGTTGGTTGTATGAAAAATCAGGACCACACACACACTCTCTCTCTCTTCCCTCTCGGTTTTCTTCCATTTTCCGTACAAGGATACGGACAAACTTCAAACTCTCCCTTCCAGTCATGGATCAAGGCTTTGAAGGTAATCTTTGAACTCCTAATAAGCTCAAGGGTTGTTCTATACCTTTGGTTGGACGTGAAACCCTCGAAAACCCGAAAACCCGAGAAACCTGATTTTGTGTATTGTTTATGCACTCGTGATTTTGAATTTTTCATGGATTTTTAAGGTTATAGGAAGCCTTAAAAAATCTTCGTGAAGCTCGGA